TATTTGAAAAATAAAAGATACAAGTTTAAGAGTTTTATCTCTTGTCTTTCTTTCACTACATCATCCTATATCCAGAGTTCAGTACGATCTAAGATGCCACTGAAGAGGACCGAGGCCACAGACGAAAGGCATGATGTCACCATCGAGTTGTTGAGTTGACAAGTCGTGGAGATCATCGCGGGCGTTGGTCGGCAAATCGATCTCATGGGACGTCAGATTGCGGACTAGGCTGCAGGGTTTGACAGATGCGTATGGCCGGCCACACCACTATCCCACGTGATCGTGACATATTTGATTTTTTTCAAAATTATCAACAATTTTAATGACACAATTGAATCACTCTTGATTCATCTAACATGAATAAATAAAAAAACTAATGCATTATAATATACATTAGATTCTTATTTAGCTATTTAGTGTCTTTTTTTCATTAACTAGGGACTCATTTTTCATATATTTTTGTTAGAGTTGTAATACGTTATTTCATTCTTTTTATATTAGGATCATTATATTATTTTAAAAAATACATTAGGAGTTTGTTTGTTCTACATTTTATTTCGTTGTAATGATATGTTTAATAAATTATTTAATTTATTTTACAAAACTTACTCAGCCAAAGACATTCACCACCACGTGCATCGCACATGCACGTTACTAGTCTAATAAAATGTAGTACTTTTTCACATGTCGTTGATCACTTGATTCTTTGGATTATTAAAATTATGAATTGTTCCATTTTTACTCGTGACTTTACACAGGTGAACGAGGTTAGCATGATTAGGGCTGCAAACGAACCAAGTGGCTCGCGAGCGCTCGAGTCAAAGCTCGGCTCGAACTCGAGTTTGATCGAACTTGAGCCGAGCTTGAGCGGCTCGAGCATGTTATCGTTTCGATCTCGAGCGTAGGTTTTGAAAGGCCGAGCGGCTCGAGGTATCTAGTGAATTACTAGAATACTTCTTATATATAAATATTACAATATTTATATATATACTTGAAATTTGAGTCAAACTCGAACCGAACTCGAGCAATGTTTCGAGCATTTTGATTTCAATACTCGATCTCGAGCCGAACTCGAACGATTATCTTCTTTTGTCGAATCGATGTTGAGCGTCATAAATCGAGCTCAACGAGTTCGAGTAGGTAAAAATTAATCTTACTCGATAAAGTCAATATTCGACTCGGATCAGTTCGTTTGCAGTAAGTGATGATTTTTCGGTCGATAACAAGTTCGGTAAAGGTGGATTCGGACGGAGTGGTTTATAAGGTGATTGACTAACATAATATTCCTATATATATATATATCAAAAAGAACTGAAAATACAATTCTAACTTTGTTTAATGGTTTGGTTCTGTTTTGGCTTGAAATCAGGGGAAACTTCCGGATGGCCGACAAATACCAGTCAAAAGGTTGTCCAAAGATTCGGAACAAGGTAAATAGTAATATAGTACCGAGTTCAAGAATGAGGTCTTGTTAATGTCGAGGCTTCAGCATATGAGAATCTATATATTAAGGCTTCTCGGTTTCATTTTTCATTTATCAATAAATATACAATTTGCATTTATCAATAAACATACAAGGTTAAATAAAATAAATGTACTATGAGAATAAAGAAGTATTTATCAATAAATAAACAAGGTATAAAAAAGAAAAAGTATATATGGTAAACTACATATTTTTCAATAACTAGCATAATACAAAAATTCAAACTAGTAATAATGTAGTATGAACTGATCATTTTTGTTTTCCCTAAACATGCATAAGGGCTCTTGGAAATCAACGTGGATACAAGTCACTGATTGACATACTATTTTTTGATGAATTGTCTGATCGATCTTGTGTGGCGCTATTTGGAGAACTTATATAATTGGATCGTCTCGAATTATTCCCTTGAACGAGTGAAGAAGTTTCCGAACCATAGCCACCCGGCATATAGAATGCAGGCTCGGAAGGTTCCGCCAGAACTAAGTTGGAGCTACTAAGCATTAGGACAACAAAAGCCATTGTTGGTCTATCAATGGCATTCTGTTGAACACATAACAAAGCAATTTGGATGCACCTTTCCATCTCACTTATAAAATCTGATGCAGACTTCAAACATTGATCCACCATTTCTATTGTTGTTCCTTCGTGCCAGCTTTTCCACGCCTATATATAATAATTTGTATTTTTTTTTAGTTCGTTGATACTTTTTAGTTGATTCATACAGAATCTATACTTACAAAGCTCAAGAGGTCCTCTACATTTCTCCCATGTCGGAAATAGTTTTTCCTCTGACCGCTAATAATTTCCAACATTAGCACTCCGAAGCTGAACACATCCAACTTGATTGAAATCTGTCCGTGTATTGCGTATTCCGGAGCCATGTATCCGCTGCAATAAAGTTATTTCAAATTTTTGCATTATTTACCCAAATTAATTTGTAAGAGCACGAGCTTTACTAAAAGAACAGTAAGGCAAAAAGAAAATACGAAAAATATATAAGATACCTATTCTTAGGCAATCAAACAAAACTTGGTGACAATAGAAGAGTATGTTATATGGAATCACTACAGTCTCGTCACACAATGATTATGTGGTTATTATTAGCCTTTAGATACATATGCGCAGATTAGTATAGGATAGATAATCCAGAGTTAAAACACACTAACATAATCATTCCGTGACGGGACTGTAGTAATTTCTTGTATTATAAATGTCATAATAATTAATTAACGCTTACATAGTTCCAACAATTTTACTAGTATCTCCATGAGTCTCTCCTTGCCCAAACAGCCTCGCCATGCCAAAGTCTGCAATTTTAGGGTTCATTGATCCATCTAAAAGAACGTTATTGGGTTTGAGATCACGATGAATAATTTTCAGCTGAGAATCTTCATGCAAATACAAAAGTCCCCTTGCTACGCCTCCAATGATGTTGTAGCGTTCTTCCCAATCTAAGTATGAACGATTAACTGATTCTGGGTCTGTATATAGTATCCAATATAAAATTTATTACAAGTTTTAATTTGATATGAAATGATCATATTAAATTGTAACTGTAATGTGTATAACAATATGATTACCAAATAGGAAGTGATCGAGGCTTCCATTCTGCACGAATTCGTAGACGAGGATTTTCTCGGTTCCTTCTAAGCAAAAGCCCACAAGTCTTACTAGATTTCTATGTCGAAGGTTGGCTAGTAACAAGACCTCATTCTTAAACTCCAAGTCACCTTGTCTGGAGTTCCTGGATAATCTTTTGACTGCTATTTCTCGACCATCAGAAAGTATTCCCTAATATTAAAATAAAAATAATATGATTAATAGATATATAAGTTAATATGTCTTACGTCTTAGTATTTATAATTTTACAAGTAATACTAGTTATGGATAAAAGTTCGAATCAACATGAATGGCTCTGAACACCAAAAATCGACACATACTATGGCGAAACACCTGAAATTGACACATAGAATTAGAAGCAAAAATTGAAACTTGGGCTCGTAAAAACTCTGTATATATATATATATATATGTATGGAGGGATATACCACAACAACAGTACATGGCTTTTGACTACCTTGTAAACAGCTCCAAATCCACCTTGCCCTAGTTTGTTACCATCTGAGAAATTATTAGTGGCAGCTCTGATCGTTGTTAAAGCATATTTGAGAGACTCAGCTTCTAAGATCTCATCAACATCATGAGCTTTAGATGGAGATGGACAGATCAATTTAACTGATTAATATGTATTAGTTGAATACGAGAATGTAATAAATCTTTCAAATCAAATCCAACACTAACAAAATGATCACATGCTTCAGAGGAAAATAAATAAATAAACAAATAAAAATCAAACTACTTACTCTCATGTTTTATTATCATTCTCCTCCTCAATAAGAGCCAAACAGTAGCAGCAACAGCAGCTAATACCGAGCACACAACAACTAAAACGATGACAATCTTAGATGGTGATGATGAATTATTACTATGATTTGTTCCTACACAAAACAAAAAAGTCTCTTAGTTATTCGTATTTATCAACGTAACGGAAAAAATTGGAGAGTTAGTCCTACAACTGACACCAAATTGAGAAAAAAAAAAAAAAAAAAAGAAAAAAAAAAAAAAAAAAAAAACCTGACTTTTGGTCCCTCCACCAGCAAAAATCAGTCGATTTTACCGGCAGTACGAAAAAAAAATGAAAAATAATATCCACATCAGCAAACTCACAGGGACCAATTTTTTCCGGTAGAGGGACCAAAAGTCAAATTTGTTTGGAGTTACAGGGTGTTTTGTAAAATCAACGCGATCACCAGACTATTTCTGAATTAGGTGACTATTTCTGAATTAGGTGTCAGTTACATGACTAAATCTCCAATTTTTCCTCAACGTAACTATAGTAGCATTAATTAAGTATCGTTACCCGTTGGAGCCGCCAACTCTCGAAGCCGAGTTTCGTTGTAAAATTTATTCACCTCGTAGCGAAGATTACAGCTCGGCACAATCACTCTTCCCCCTCTCCTCCTATTCCAGAACCGCGCTACATCGGCACATATCAATCTCAGACAAGCACTGCAGTTCTCGGAGGACAAATCCGGCGTGCACTGGACCATCGCAAAGATGTCCCGACGATCACGACCCGTCACAATATTCCCTGCCGCCACTTTCCGACTGTTGCCGGCCGCCCGGACACTGAGGTCAAACAACAACCTCGTCAAGTCCCGCATGAACCTGTCTGGAGCCGGACTCTCGATTTTATGAGTGTTCCACTGATACAACCTAGCTGACGTGTCGAGTCTCTGCGTTAGGTTCTCGTCCGAGTAATGTAGCGTGCAAAAGTCAGACCAGCCGAAGGCTTGTGTATTGTTAGGGCATGAAGTCGGGAGAAAGGATATGACGTGGCGGAGGCAGTCGCGGCAGTCCGCCAGCTGGACGTCGCCTCTGCAGAGGACTGCCACGTTGGCGGTCTCGGGCCCACGCCACACGACAGAGTCTTGGAAGAAGCCGTCTTGTCCGAGGTTGTTGGGTACAGAGTAGAGAACGGAGTTGAGGTTTTCCGAGTATTCGCTGTCGATTGGGTGGGTGCCGTTGGTGAGGCATTCGTGGGATTGTCCGGCCAATTGGAGGAGATTTGTGTGAAGGATATTCAAGGCGAGGAAAAACAAGGTCCTAGACATTTTTTTTTTTTTTTTTTTTTAATTATGGTTGGACAGAATTTCTTTCTTGGTGCACAAAAATGGTAATATCATATGATTTATTTATTTCCAAATTTTATGAGGCTCAACTAATCGGATCAATCTTTGAAATGTCAAAATAGTGGACTCTAGTTTTGAAATTTGGCCTGAATCCAAATTTCTATTTTCTTACCAGCCAATGTTTCACTTTCACGTACGCATTCAAGATAGGCAATGCAAACAATGCTTTTTTAGTCTTGTTGGTATAGGGGTGAGCAAAATCGAGTCGAAATTGGAAAATCGAGTCGAACCGTGCAATTCAGTGAGGTTCGGTACGGGTTTTTCCTACATTTTTGTGCGGTTATAGTTTTTCATAAGTTCGGTTTTCGATTTTGTGTTGTTCGTCCGATTTTGCAACTGCACCAAATTGAATAAAATGTGTAGAAAAGCCGAGATAAAATAAAAAATCGAGTCGAACCGTGCATTTCGGGTCGGCTCGATTCGGTACAGTTATTTTAGTGTAAAACAATTCAGTTCGGTTTAGGTTAGGTTTTTTTAAGTTGCAGTGCGGTTCAATTTTTTTCTTTTTTTTTTTTGCTAGGTTCAGTTTTTTGCTTTTTTGTGGTTCGGTACAATTTTTCGCCGAACCGCACTGTTGTTCACCCCTACTTGTTGATTTAAACGTTATAGCAATTTTAGTCTCAAGATTCTTATTCTTTTATTTTGGTCATTTAATTTAATATTTTTTTGTAATTTCAATATTTTGCAACAAAATTTTAAATTGCAGGACTTAAATTGCTAATCGAAAATTTGGGGAATTGAGATTTTTTTGCAATTTAAGTACTCAAATGATTGAAATTGCAGGAAAATATTAAATAACAGTACCAAAATGCAAAATGTTAGAATATTGAAACTAAAATTACAATACGACGTTTAACCAATAGGATAAAAACTGCAAGTTGGCCTACAAAATATTTAGAGTGAGATTGAGCTATTGCATGGTTTGGTTGACCATATGAAATATAGTTTAGAGATTTGACTAGCTAGCTAATTAGGACAAGCTTATATATCTCCCTCCATAATAACCGAAAAAACACGCCGGGTAATTAATAATATTTTTTGGTTGATCTTGTAACGTGAACTTTGGGTTTATTTTATTAGTCTTTAGACAAGGACGTACTGGTAGCTAGGAAAGTTAATGGCAATCACGCAGAAATTTAATAAGGTAAAAGTATGCTGAAACATATTGCGTACTAGGAGAAACAGCCTTCTTTGCAGCGAGCAAAGGATGCACCAACTGTTTGGTATAACGACAAACGCAACATGCAAAAATACATCTACAGTAAATAATAGCATATACTACTATAAATGAAAAATAAGCTAATATAAATAAATTCAAAAAATAAATAACGAGAAAGAAATGATCGCACTAATTTGATAAAGGAATTCGACCAATATTACCAACGTACGTCAAGCCAACTTCAATAATCTCACCAGTAAAATACAACTATCATTAAATTAATAACTCATGAATTATAATTCCTTTACTTTTAAACTATGCCTAAGCATCGCCTCGTGTTTGTGTCCAAGTCACTGGCATCCTCTTTCAATGAGAGTCATCTATTCATTGATATTAACAACTATTCATTTATTCATTGATATTCCTATGTATTCCAAACTATGTAAGTAAATTACATTTTAACATCAAAACTAATTTAAATCAAAGCGAATAAATATAGAATATAATATCTCATGTGCATGCATCGAGTAAATGTTGAAATTAACTTTATAGAAAAACCATCATTTCAATCTAGGAGTGACCATACTGAATAGTTAGCAATCATAATTAATATACAGTGGAAGCAAACCTAATTTAACAATCATAATTTTATGTGGAGGCTGCAAACCTAATTAGGCATTAGGGGAAATGACTTTGTAGGTCCATACGTTTGTGATCATTTTGAACAAAACAATGCTTTTTTCGTGCGCTCTATCTATCGATGAAGAAAATACAATACGTATGATCTAAGAAGTACAATCTTTTTTATACAACAGAGTTATATTCAACATCTATAATTAAGATTATCATTAAAATCGAAAAAGCTCACACCAACACAAGTCATACTTTAAAGTTCAATATCTTGAATGTTAAGTGATCATTTTTATTGCATGATATCATATAAGTTTATTTTGGATTAATAACGTCCAACAATAAAATGTAAAGACCATTCAAGACCAAAATAAATAGTCAAGTCCACGATCCCAAATCCCAAGTCAACAGCAAAAATTATACTCCTGGCGCGTGCGTGTTGCACAGAAAAACAAATCAAATTTTGAAAAAAATAAATAAATAAATAAAAATAAAAAATGCTTCCAACGTTTTTGTCCCTCCTCATTATCCTTCACACAAACTTCCTATTCCTCCCTGCGGGCGGTGTGCCCCTACCAGCGGCAGGCGGTTGAGTGGGACGAGTTCTGCACCCGTGGCTACTCCAATCGGACTCTTCTCGGGTCACGGGAAACTTCTCTCTGGTACTTGCTTATGAACTCGCAGAACGTTACAAGCCCCGACCGGTTTATGGCTGTCGTACGGCAGCTCCTGGCAGATCTGAGCAGCCGGGCGGCCTCCGGCGCGGGCCTCTGCGGAAAATGGCCGCGGGGAGTGCGGCCGGGCCCGATTCGCAGGAGATTTACGCGATGGTGCAGTGCAGCCCGGATCTGTCGGGAGATGATTGCACGGCGTGCTTGCGTGAGGGTGCTTCGTTCGTACCTACATCGAGAGGGGCTAGGGCACTCGCGCCCAGCTGCAACCTACGTTTCGAGACTTCCCCCTTTGTTAACGAGACTAGGCTCCAGGAGCTCCAGCCGCCGCCTCCGACGCCGGCAATTCAGCCGCCGTCGGGCACCACTGAGAGGCTGTCTCCGCCGCAGCCTGGTAATCAGGCTTCTCATTTTGGGGTTGTGGAATTTTTGGTTTCAGTCCTTTCACCTTTTGAAATGCAAATTTGGTCCTCCACTGACTTTAGAACTTTCAAATGCCTTTTTCTTCAGCGTTGTATTGTAGTCAAAAATGAAATACTGTATGGAATTTTTTGTTGTATATGATTACAACAAACAATTATTCCAATTCTGCAGAAACAGGTGATGATAACATTACAACCCGAACGATTGTCATTGTCGTTGTCTCAGTTGCGTCGTGCATAATAGTAGTTACATTTGCTTGCGTTCTAATAAGAAAGAGACTCAAACATAAGCCAGAGGACCAACATCAGAGTAAGTATATTTGATACTTTGAAATCTATGTTTTTATATGAAAATTTACCTTTAAGAGCATATTCAGCTAAGTTATATCTTTCAATTAATTGAAGATGACGACATAAGCGGCGCAGCCGAATCTCTGAAGTATGAATTAAGCACAATTAGAGAAGCTACAAATGATTTCTCAGATGAAAACAAGCTTGGTCAGGGTGGATTTGGAGCTGTTTACAAGGTAAATTTTGAGTATATACAATGGACATATTAATAAAAGCCCATATGCAACAACTTTGAGATTAA